CCTCCGACTATAATACCCATATATACAGCTTAAATTGTAAAGTACCCTGGGTATTTTAGTCCACGCTGTACGGTAATTTCACTCATGTGCTGCTACGCAGCACATGGAGTGAATTAACTCCGACAAAAAAATTGCCTGTTATTTTTTGTCGTCTGCCCATAATGTATACTTATCCGGCAAACTCTTATGATCATGAATCGTCATTTTTCTTGATATTTTTTTTATGTATTTCTATGCAATCATGTTTATTCAAATTAAAACTCAATTAATGACTTTCTACCAATCATGATTATAAATTGCCAGATAACACTTGGATCCCTAATTTCTCCTCTCAATTCTAATTTGATGTGTAAATTACATTTCTAATTCGACAAAGCAGATTATGCCATTCTTCGTCTACCAATAAAATTATGTAACATAAAATTTCGAAGTTTTTCAAAAATTGCCTGTAACTTAAAATTTTGTATACAAAACTACCTTAAGTATTTTATTTATTTAATGATTTTGATGATTGACTAATTGATTGATTTTTTAGTATATCTAAGATTAGGATTATTGATTCTAGGATGCTCAAATTTTTGTTCAAAATGTTCTTGTAAGACAGAAATATTTACATTAGAACATACTTTAAAATGTTCTTCACATCATACTACTGTACTTGCATTTTTAAAAGAACAATAATTACTTTCTTGTGCATATTCTTATACAACTCCTAATTTCGTAAAATGGCCTCAAAATTTTTTTGGTTTTTCATTTGAAATAAAAAAGATTAATAACGGTCAAAAATTTTTATTATCTAAATCATAATTATTATGCATACACGAGAATTATCTGTGTTGATCAAATTAATATTTTTGATTGGTCAAATGCATCTATTATCAGATCTTTCTTAGTAAATGATCTGCAATATTTTAGCGTACAGTACGTATAGTACTGTACATGGCGTATCACTAGAAGAATCGTAGTCGTCATATTGCCACAACTTGCCGCAACTATAGAAGCAGGGCTACCGAATAATTGATTGTGAGGGCAATTAATTGCAATTATTTGACCTCAATTAATTGATTGGTGGCGCAGTTACAATTTTTCAATTAATTGCAATTTTTGTCGCAGCTTGTAAATATAATAACTTGCTGATCTTTGACATCAAAATTATAGTTAAAAAAAACTTATCGTTATGATTATTATGTAAAAATTGCAATTAATTGCAATTATTTCACAATTAATTGTTTTACAATTGTTTATCTGTAACAATTTAATTGATTGCAATTGTGTAATAATTTAATTGCAATTAAATTTTCGGTACCCCTGTATAGAAGTAATATCAATATAGTAAGTTACGGCTATAAGGCCGTAACTTACTACATTACTTACTATAGTTACAGCAATGTGACGACTACCATTGGGACGATTCTACCGCATCATTACTCATGACGCCAATGCAGCTATGATTCATTAAAAACGGAACTTTTATTCCACCATTTGGATGATTAAAGTTTTCACCTTTTCTTCACAATAAATACAATTGCGATTAAATCTGTGATACTAAACTTTTGCTTGTAATGGAACAAAATACCAACACATTTGATCCTAATGATGAACTAACACCTAAGTTTGCTGATATAGCTCTTAAAGCCATTGAAGACATTTCTGATGAGCTTCATGAGATAAGCATAAAGGTAATTTTCACATTAATAAAAAGTTTTAATTTTAACAAGTATTTAATGCTAACTATTTTATATGAACAGATCCACGAAAATCCTGAAGTGGCTTACGAAGAAAAATATGCACATAAATTATTAGTTAATTATATGCAAGAAAAAGGGTTTAAAGTAACACCCAGCGCTTTTGGTTTAGAAACTGCATTTGTAGCAGAGTTTCAATCGGAGGCCGGAAAAGACCGTGTTGTTTCAATTAATTCAGAGTAAATAATATTAGTTATTTTAAAATATGTATTAACTTTTCATCTATAAAAGAGTTTGTAATATCTGTATATTAGGTATGATGCTTTACCAGACATTGGTCATGCTTGTGGACATAATCTTATTGCAATCAGCGGAGTAGGTGCTGTGATTGGTCTCAAAGCAGTTCTTGAGAAATTTGAGATTAAAGGAACTGTAAAGTTACTTGGAACCCCCGCAGAAGGTATTTAAAGTTTTATTATTTATTTAGTGATTTAAAATTGTAAAATAACAATATATTACATTTTTAAGAACAGGCTAGCGGAAAAGTCGAATTAATTAAAGCAGGTGCATACGATGGAGTTGATATTTCACTAATGGTTCATCCAAGGTGACATTCCGTTAGCATTTAATTTCTGCTATTTTTTTTTAATTATTAATCACAATAATTTATAAAATTATTAGTATATATAATGGAGGTTTTGTAAAGTTTTTATCGGTCCAGACCGCAAATATCGAATATTTTGGAAAACCTGCACATGCCGCAGGTAAAATTTTTATTTTATTTCTTTTATAAGTATTTATAATTTCTTTTTTTAAAAATTTTATTAAATATTTATTCTGTTAATTAGCCATGCCTTATCTTGGTAATATAAAAAATTCCGTTTTTACATTCTTTGTTTGAAAAGGTGTTTTGTAATAATTAATCAATTTTTTATACAAAAATTCAAAATGAAATAATAGGAATTAATGCATTGGATGCAATAGTTTTAGCCTATAATAATATTGGATTGTTAAGACAACAAATTCTTCCTACAAACAGGTATAAGTCGATTATTTTATTTATTTTTTTATGTCGATTTTCGCATTTAATTTTAATAATTTTTAGAATTCATGGAATAATTAATAATGGAGGAAAATCAGCTAACGGTTCGTAGCATATTTTCACCAATATTAAATTCAAATTAATGATAACAATCAAAAAATTCCACATACCGTTTTTTAGTTATTCTTGAATATACATCTGGAACTTTCCTTATTCGTGGAAATACAGTGAAAGATGTAAAAGAGCTTCAGCCACGTGTGCACAAGTGCTTTGAAGCAGCTGCAGAAGCGACTGGGTGCAAAGCGAAAATTACATGGTCAAATGAAGTTTATGGTATTCTTTATAAATATAATATTCATCGATTAATTAAATTATAAATAATTTAACTTAATCCTCGATTATAGATGTGAATATAAATGAACCTCTTTCCGCGCGTTACGAATACTATCTTTCAAAAAAATTTGATATTAAATTTTCTCCAAAAGATGTTCAATCTACCTTCCCTAGCGCATCCACTGATCAGGGAAATGTAACTTATTTGGTACCTGGATTTCATGCAGTGTATGACATTCGTACATCTATTAATACTGTTAATCATCAAAGAGAATTTTGCTCAGAATGTAAAACAAAAATTGCTCATGAAGAAACTATAAAAGCTACGAGCGGTATGGCTTTAGTTGGATTAGACTTTTTAATTGATGATGAATTTGCTAAACAAGTCACCGATTTTTTTGCTAAATCTAAATCATAACTCAAACCTAAATTATAACTTAGGCAATATTATAGTAGTTTTATTTGTCAAGTAAAAAGATTATACTATATCTCAATTCTATAACTATATATATTTATATTACAATCCCATTATTTTATATAACAATAAAGGCTTTAAATTTTATGTACTAGCTTTAGTCTCTTTGGGATCAAAGTGATATATTAAGTTCAAGACAAACATCTAATGATAAAAAAGTTTAAGAAAATTTGGTTTTAAAATAAAACTAAATTAAAATAGAAAAATTTACTATTTTTCATAATTAAGTTGTTGTTTATATGATTATGTCTTTAGTTTAAATATATACAATTAAGCTAAATAAATCTTTTACAAAATATTTCTAAAGTGATAATAATTTTGTAGACAAATTTATAGAAAATTACTTCGTTTCACCATTGGTGATCATCACCAGTGATTTACAATAGTTAAAATTTTCTTAAAGTAAAAATTATTTTAAAAGCTTGAATTAAAACAAAAGGTTATACTCAGAATTTCACAGATAATTTTTTTTATTAGAACCTCTAAGTAGTTTTGCCAATAAAATTTTTATTTTATATTATACACTGGTGATGATTTGCAGTAGTGATAAATAGCTTTTATATTATTGTAAGATTATCAAATTTTAAATAATTATAACTATCAAAAATATATAACAAAAACAAACTTGACAAATTGCTTTTCTGTCAAATTTTACAGGTTATCAGTTTTAACAGAATTGGATTTGAGATGTTCAACAGTAGCTTGATTAATTAGTAATATTGGATCTCTCAAAACTAATATTCAAACCCTATTAAATTTAGTAAAAAATTAATTTGCCAAGTCTTTTTTTCAAAATAATTTTTTAATTGTTTATAATATTTCAAATCTAACAATTTATCAACACTGATACAAAACCTGTTCACTAGTATTTAGAACATTTTTAATATATCATAATATTATAATTAATAATGCTACGTATATTAACATCTAAGTATAATAATAAAAATAATACAATGCTTATAGTAATAATGATACAATCAAACCTCTCTATAATAACACATTTAGGATACATAAAAGCATTATTGTAAAAAAGTGTGAAAATTATATTTATTATATTTATTAAGTAGGTTTGGTTTTAAAAATATATATAGATTAAGAAAATATGCTTATATAATAGGTGACTATAAGGGTTTAACTGTAGTTTTATAAGGTATTAGTTATTTAAACTTTAAAACCATCAGTACCTAGTGGTCTAGTTAAAAAAATTTTAAGACAATATACAGACTTAAAATTCAGTAATAAAATCTAATCTAGAACTATTAAGAATTATTTCTCGAGGTAGTACTATAGTAAAAGGGTAAAGAGGAGAAGTTGCATTATCTGCACCTACTATTACTATACCATTTATATTTACCAAACTGAAGTCCAAAAAATCAGAAAAAGAAAATGCGGGGCCTCCACTATCACCACCGGTGCATGACATTTTATCTACAAATGTCAAGTCCGACTGGTAGTTTTCATCTTTATTTACATAAATCCCATTAAACGCATCTACGTAACCACAAGAAACCAATGAACTGATACCGGACCTGCATAAATGTGCACCATGGCTAAATATGGGAACACCATCAGTTACAAATAATTCAAGATATGAAGCATTTTTATCATTCTTTATATTCGTTGATGGTCGAAGGTATTCACTCATTTTCTTTATATCAATTAAACCAATGTCGTGTGGAGCTATAGAAGAATGTATCATTTTACCAATTAAATTTTTAGTATCTAAGGTGAAAAATTTTTTCATAGATCTACTAAACCGTTTCCCATTGCAATGTCCTGCAGTTACAAGTAATGTTTGATTTTTACTTCTTGCCCAAAAACCCGCAGAACAAAAAGAGCCATCGAATTTATTCCCAATACCATCACCAGATAATAATATAGAACTTATTTTGCTTGTGACTGCACCCCTTTTAGTATGTGTTGAAGTAATTGTTGGACTAAGGTCAAAATATATATCCGCATCATATTGCCTAGCAGCCCCTATAAAAGCTTGAATACGTTGATCGGGTGGCAATGATACAATTACAATGATTTTATTAAATCTTGGATGAATGCTAGTATATATACCTCTTGGTCTATTCTGTTTAGCCATTCTATCTAATTCTTTAAACGAGGATTTTAAATAAGCTAATGATTTGTTTACTTTTCTAAAGTCCAAAAACCTTTCATATTCTCTTATATTGGGTTTAGAAGTTATATCGTGCTTCTTAGTCATATTTACTGTATAAATTATTACTGAATTACTTTTTACATCTATATAAGTTCCAGCGAAATTTGAATCGTCTAGGTATAGTTCTAATATTTTATTCACATTGTTTAAATGCAATTCTCTCTCTAAGTACCTTGGTATTAGATGAACTGGTATATTCCATAATCTTGCTAATTGTTCTTGGGCATGAATAATTACTAAATGTTTTTGAAGTGTAAAAATAAATAATAAATTTATTATAAAATAACCGAATTTCATATTGATAGATGTTAAATTGGTGCATAAAAAAATACAAAAAGTCAAATTTTATTAATTACTTTTAGGAATTATCTAAGCACATAGTATTTATATCATGGCCATTAAATGATGTCAAATATTAAAATTAGAGTTGGAGGTCAGTGCCCAGTACGATTAGAGATGCAGGCGAATCGTCCCAATAATTGCCGTAACTAGTTACGACATAAGCTTTAGTTAGTTACTGCTTAAGCCGTAACATCATTGGGACGATTCGCCTGCACCTCTAAGTACGATCATAGAGAAATGATTCTGCCATGTGATATTTACAAAATGAAGTTAATTAATTTATTCGATTATATATTACGTATAAAGGCACAGCACATGATAACATCACATGTCATAATTACTTCATTATGCATACAGTGACGATATACATGGCGTAGAAATTAATTGTGGCTTTGCCGAAAGTATTTTGGCGACAACTTTTTGGTAGAAATGATGCCGTAGAAATTGCACATATTACTGCTTGAAATTACAATTTTGTTTAATACTCTCCAAGAGCCCCCCTGAAATTAAAAAGCCAATCAGGAATGTTAATTATGTCTTGAGACTCATTATCCCTTAAACAGTCTAGCGGGCAAATTTGCCCGCTAAAATTTTTTTTGCCCAATTTTTGTACAATTGCCTCAAATTTTATTAAGACTCACCCCCTTATTCCCTAAGCTAAAATAAAGTACATTACATGCTAGATGTCATGTAATTCTTACCTCGAGAAATTTCCTTAGCATTACTCCCAAAACCGGCTAAATATGGTTAGTAAAAAAGGTACCTTCACGTGACAATCATGAAAGATTTTCACGATCGTCACGTGGAGGTACCTTTCATAACATTGGTCGAAGATCCTTCACGGCCAACTTCACAGAACTGATTTTGGGGCCAATATGAGGAAGATAATATGACTCAAAAGTTCAGGTAAAAACTTTACAGCCATGCCCTTTGTTTGAATCATTTTTGAGTATGCCACACTGCGGCTATCGAGTGTAACGTGTGGTTCGAGCTTTTGGGAGTCAGCATAGCTGGCTGTAGTAAATATCTCTACAAAAAAAATTTTTTTTTATATTCTGCTTTATCCAATTATTTTAGCGGGCAAATTTGCCCGCTAAACCGGACGGTTTAAGGGATAAATCAATCAATAATAGTAAGATTATTTTTGCGATGTAACCCCCACCGTGCTTAAGTTCAAATGTTAAACGAAATTATAATTAAACAGCTTTAATGCATAATATATAACTTTAAATATATTTAGACAAATAATTAAATTTATTAAAAATTCTTTTAAATTAATTCAACAAGTTTATAAAAAAATTTTTATTAAATTTGATTAAGTTCTTGTTAAATTATTCAAATCCTTTTTATTAATTCACTACATTTACACGTAAGAATTATAAAACTATGAAAGTAAGTGAATAAAAAGTTGGTCATTTTGCATAAACATTCCAAGATATAGAAATTTATTATCCTGAACAACTTTACTTAAGACATACATATTACTTGGTAAAATTTTGATCGTAATATTTAGCTATGATTATCGATTATAGAATATTTAGCTATGATTATCGATTATAGAATATTTAGCTATGATTATCGATTATAGTTTCATAAAAATTTTGTTTGGCGGCCAATTCAGACTGGTTAAACGATATTAGAATATTAATTAGCATATGTTAAATTCTAAGTCATTTAGGCTTCGAAATGACCGAAATAATCCAATGACTAGTCATTTATCATTTGGATAATTTGAATCATTTCAGGTCATTTATCATCCCTGTCCTATGTTCAAACCCAAAATTTTGACATTAATGCTATTCACAAATGACACATGAAGAATGACTCATTTCAGGTACATGTTTACAAAGATTGGTTACAATACCTGCCTTATCAAAGATTACTAATATGCTGCTTAAAATAACATTATATTTATTCATATATTAACAGTTAATTTTCTATTATAACGTATTTGGATGTTGATACATAAGTCACTGTACCATAAAACAATAAAATTAATTAATATATGGAAAAATGACAAGTAATTCGCCAGAGGCACTATTATGATGATTTTGTATTTTTTTTTTATTTTTATAATTTGTATAGTGGTCCTTATGCGCCTCTCCTCGTTTTAACCAACCGCTCTAGATGCTATATCTTTAAATAACTTCCTGAAAGTATACGTTCCTGATGCTTTCACTTGAGACTTTGCTTAGAATTTAACACATCACCACATGTATCTTTTATTGAGAGTGTCTTAGCTTTGGCTTTGCGTCAGTTTACTTACTAGATTAATATTAATTCAGCCAACAAGCTTCATATGACATAACTGAAAATTCAAAACCTTGACCTTTTTGGCACCTTTAATTCATTATTCATGAAATTTATGTCTTTGTTACATCTTATTTTGGAGATTCCAATTTTAGCCCATACTCTGTCATTTGCTTATTAAATCCATTTCTTATTACATTTTAGAACTAATACATTAATAAATAAGGTACAAACCCTATAAAATGTCAAGAACTCTCTCCAAGGTTCTTCGAACAGATATCAATGATCTAATATAGCATCATCATAAACTTAACACACAGACTTTCTCACAATCAAAAAAGAAAACTTTACCTCAACATCTATCTACTATCTCAATTACTTACCAAAACTCACAACTACCTACCACTTCAATTACTTAAAACAATTTGTTATACTAAATATTCTTATTAAGTACTGCTATTATACAACTATTTCACTTCACAACAATCAACTCACAGTTCAAAAAACTCCAACTATATCTTCATACAATTATAATCCAATCAAATACATTACAGTTACAAGCCTAATTTACCTGGACTCTTACACCAACTAATATCACATTCTCATTTCAAATTACACATTGGTCTTTACAACACATGCATATCTCATTGGAATTATAACAATTCTAATGATAGTTTTATAGAATTATCAAATAACAGTCTATATGACTCACAAACTAACAATCAACTACATTAACACTCTTCTTGCATCAATATCAAATTCCATTCTTACTCTTCAAAAACACAATTATTGGTTATTCAAACTATTATTGCAAACTATAATTGTTTACAAAGACATCAAAATCAAAGACACCTACATTGAGGATTCTGATAACCATCTTCTATATAATAAAACAACCCACCTGTTACTAACATATAACAATACAAACTGCATATCCAACTTTATGCACTTGACAATAACAATTTTTAAACAATATACTGATTGAAAACAAAACTTGTCATTTCATTAAACATTTGCAAAATGTAACAAATATAACAAAATATTATGCTCTCAACAGAACTAAATATTGGAATAATATTCATAAAGATACCAACTGGAATTCAACACACAAATTTCTTAACTATAACAACAAACCTAATACTTGTATTACCTATTCTAAATACTCACAATTAAAAAGTTTCAAAATTAAATTTTTACTAGATGAGTTACCAACTCTATTAAATCTACATTACAGAAAACCTAAAACATATACCAATCCTATCTGCAATTATTGCTCTATATATATTGAAAACAACTCTTACTGGCTTGAATATACAACAAATCCTATATCTTTAAATTAAGTAATCTAACAAACTACCTTCAAATTTCTTATTAAAAACAAAATTGAACTACAAAATATATCTATCTTATTACAACAACTCTTTCAAACATTAAACAACATACATAATCTTCTTAGATTACAAGGATTAATTTCAAACAACCTACCTGTAACTAGCAATATCAATTTGAATATGCTTGTTACTCTATTTTATAAAATGTCAAATAATATTTATAAAAAAATATAGACAGAAAGATGCAAAGCTGTATACCAAAATAAACTGCTAACAAATACATTCAGAATTACAACTTTAGAATACTCAGTTACAGACCAATTGACTACAACAAAATATAAAAAATGGACAACTATTTTTTCTACTACTAACATATCTACATCTTATATTGCAACACTAAATCTAGAAGAAGTCTGATAGTCTACTTTAGTAAAGTTTTGAGCTGAGGGTAAATTAGCCTAGTTATAGGTCTATGTAATAATTTATGTAACTCATTTTTATTAATGTAATATCAAATTATTCAATAAAGACCAAGGCCAGGCCTCACTCTTAAAAAAAAAAAAAAAAAAAAAAAAAAAGATAATTAAGATAAAGCTGCACAATAAAAAAAACATTATGGTACTAAATGAATTTAATGAAATACTATTAAAAAACAGAGTTTGGTCAGTGTATTGAAAATCTTTTAATATAGTTTAAAAAAAAAACTAAGGTTTTATAAAAAAAAGACTTAAAGTATAATCTTAAAGATCTAAAAACATCAAATTACTAATATATCAATAAATAAATATACAGTTAACAAAAGAGTCTTCTTTTTAGAAAATAAATCACAGTCGACAGTTATACAGAAACAAAAAAACAATAATAATATAAATAATGACTTGTAGAAATGGTCCAAACCAAAATAGATTAACAATAAGCAAAAAGATATATTCTGATATTATTGTTATAAATTACTATTATTAAAATACAGACTAAAACATATAATACTGAGTAACAATAGCAATTGTTGATGTGCTTTAAAGAAACTTAAATCAATAAACATTTTTGAATTAATTGTAAAAACAGTAAAATTATATAGAAAATAGTATACTTATATATAAATTCAAGAGAAACTCCTTTAAGAACCAATGAAGAAATCATTACAACATCAAATATTAAAGATAAGAATAAGAAGAAGATAGCAAGATGGTTACACATTAATATGTTATATGAAGTTTGATATTGTTATATTTAGACTAGATGAGTAAAATGCCAATACTAGAGCCTACACTCTCTATAGTTATTAGGAATAGAATTAAGAAGAAGTTCAAAACATTAAAATATAAAATAATCAAAAATAATAAAGATAAGCATACACAATTTTAATGAATAATATAATTAATCATGTAATAATATATATATAACAGAACCAAATAAAATACACCATCTGGCATCCCCAAAGAAAGGTTTAATATAAAAAAAAATGTTGAACCTTTAAGCTGGACTTGTTCATTCTATTTTTTAAAAAACTTGATTATCAATAAGATTCAACATTGTACAAAGATGCAAAAACAACAATGAAATTTACTTTTATATAATTATTTGCGCCATACATAAGCATCATCTGATCTTTATAGGAAACGATCAAAGGTAATGCATCACGTGTTTCGTGATACACAAGTGATTATCTTTGCATCGGCAATAATAACAGTTAATAAAAATTTAATATTAAAAAAAGAAACTATTCAGGAGTAAAAAATAAAAGGATACATCCAGAATTGCACAAAATAACGTAATCTAACCAATTTTTTTTTTTTGCTCCATTACTTATGATCGCCACTGTATATATATTTTTGAGAACAACTGTAGGCTTCTGGAAATCAGGAACTTCCATGATATGGTATAATGGACTATGTTCGTTCCCGCTTTTTTGGAAACCCCGTGATTTTATTAATTGGAAATCCTAAATTCTTTGATTTCCCACATAAGTATGTATAAATTGACACACCTTTTTGATAACAACCGTAACTTACAATCAATCATTACACTATACATCTTACCTTAATACTGTAATATTGCGTTAGTTAGTGTGATGATTTTTTTATTAATAGATAATTATATTGTATCTTTAATTTCATTTTTATTTACAATAAATATTTATTAAAGACAGTATCAAATTTCAGGCTAGTAATTACTATTTTATATTTACACAATGCTTCATATTTTGTTACACTTAATGGTTCCAATTTGCTATAAATATGAATCGTTTAATACAGTACTGCAGTAACATTTATATAAATTTCTAGCTCAGCTATGAAAAAATGAAAATTTTACCAATGTAGTGTATTACAATTTTCGTGGAATAGGAATCATAAAAAAAAACACTATTATTACAAATCAAAATAAAAAAGAATCATAATTTATTACAAGTATACAATCGCCTAAATCCATTGTGCAGCAAATAATAATTTCAAAATTTATTATCGAATCTATCAAATTATACCATTAAAAAGCCAAAAGAAATTACGCTATATATTATTATTAATATATTCCAGCATTGTTCTATTCTATTACTACTATTTTTTACATTAGATGCAGCAGTAGGTGTAGTAGTAGTACGAGCAGGTGATCCATTCTGAGTTTTTGGTAACGGCTTTTGTGTTGTCGAAATACTATTCATGGTTATTTGTGGAGGGATCGATGATGTGGGGTTGACTATGAATGTAGGTTTAGGATACCTTGTAAGACTTTGACTGGTGCCGAGTGCACAGATTTGGGCGACAGAAGGCTATATTTTATGGTAAAATGATTAAACTTGATAGATACAAGTTTATATATACAAAATCATGGAATTTAAGTATGATAAATACCTCGTAAGCTTTTCCTTCATTTATAATATTTATATCGTCGGTACATTGTAAGAAACAAAGTTGAATTGCTGTTTAAAAAATATTTGAGAATTATCAAAAACTTGGTACATTCTTTGTAAAATGTATCTCAAAACATATTTTCAGTAATTACCTTTAAGAGCATCACATTGGCAAATAAAATCCATTGGGGCGCATTTCGATTTCATAAATTCACCTCGGTTCCTACATTCATTATATACAAACATATTAACACAAGTCGATTCGACAGAAGGTAATAATAGATGAAGGATGATTGCCAGTGAGATGTGTAGGAGAGCTATAATTCGCATTTTTTTTTTAAAAAAAAAAACTTAATTTGATTAATTGTTCTTTTTAAAATGGAATATCAATGTAAAATTATTTGCAGGACTTAAATAAGTTTTCCTTCGAATAATTAAAATATATTTGATCTTGTTTTATGTCACATTTTGTTTTATTACGAACCAACAAATCTTACTCTTTTTTTTTTTTTTATTCCCTGATATTATAATGTATTTAAAGATTTGGCGCTTCAAATTTTGGCGTAGTCGACAAAACATGATTAATTAAATGAAGATGAAGATTAAAATGTATTTATCTATTATTACGGTTGTTTTATACATATTTCATCAAAAAGTTAATCAAACTGTAGAATCTTATATTAAAAACGGCATTATAGTTGAGTCTGATAAATGTTTTCAATGGTCATTTTTCTTCAACGATTTCCCACAAGCTTAGGCGTTTGTACGATGAAACTGCCAAGATCATTTACGTACGTGATTTAAATTATCAATTTAATTTAATAAAAATTTTCGCATACAGTATAATGCTGAGTTGCAATAACAGCATCAAGATGCATAACGCTGACCGGAAATTTTGGACTACACAATCTGCAATCGGTACCAATTACGAAAATGTTTTGGATAGTAATAGCGTTGCCAACAAATTTACGTATGATTAATTATCACATACTATAGCTTATATTTATTGCATATTGATATGAATTGAAAAAATTACTATGTAACGGTAGTTATTAATATTACGTAATTTTGTTGGCAACACTTAGTGGCTATGCTGCGTCAATATTCTTTCAAAAATTATGACAATATGCTTAAATTCATTAACACAATTTTTTATCTTTTGGTAACTATTTCAATCAATTACGTGATGTTAAATACCAATACTATAGTGAACGTTATCGACCGTTTAAGAAATTTGAAAACTTTTTCTAAAATGGTTGTAAAAAATGCGTGCATTGGGCAAAAATAAATTCAAAACAACGATATAAGAAAGGAAATAAACATATTCTTAGTATAAAAGAAAATTTTATACTTCCAAGCATGAAATGGATATTAGTGTTGCAGTTTTATAAAAAGTGTGACCAGGTAGCAACTAAATGTGTATTGTAGCTAAGGTTTAAAGATGTAGGACGATGCCAAAAATTTATGATAAGTTGTATAGACGTGGTACAAGGCTTGGAATTAAGCATAAGGCAACGTATTCGAGCTTTAATAGATTTATTATTTATACTGTATTTCTCAGTTATGCATATTTGCTAAATTGAACCGTCTAAGTATACATCCATAAAATCTTGCTATAGTCAGTTAGCCAAGAATTTTTTGATGTAAATGATAACTATCATATTTCTACTAAATTAACAATTAACAACAATACGTTTATACGGTAACACTGTAACATATCCTTCAACTTCTTTTTTAAACTTATCCGAATATCTTTTTACACCTATGTAATTCAAAGTCCTTATTCTTATGCAGAATTTGATTAATGCCTTAGCTTGTTTCTCGTTATCAAGTTTATCAGTTATCAACTTTTTTAAAGGTGCTTGACAATTACTGAGCAAAATATCCATATATAAATCTAAACAAGAATTTCTTAAATCAAGATATTGCAATGTTAACGGCAATATTTCTGCAAATTGTTGAACTTGTTCTTCTGGTGTGATGCTATCAATACGCCATAAACATCGTAAAGTGAGAAATTGAAGTTTTTGTAAATTACCAATAAGATCTAAGAGTTGTGAAGAGAATTCAATATTCGAAATTTCAAGATATGTAATATTTGGACAATAGGATTTAAGTGTTTCTAATAATAATGATTGTTCTAAAATCATTTCCTTTCTTGATTCAAGTTTTAGTCGTTGTAATAATTTGCCAGACTTTTCTAAAATTAATACTACTTTCGATGCATCAAGTGGACAATCAACTATCTCTAAATTTCGGATTCGATAATCTGAAAATGTCAATAATCCTGTATATTCGCAATGCCTGATACAAAGAATTTCTAAATTTTGACAATTCTTTAACATCTCAAACTCTTCATTACAAATACAACTATCTATTAAAAGTTCCCTTAATGAATGTTTTTGACTCTCTAAAGCCGAAATGATGCCGTGAAAATCGTCACAAAAATTGTCGCCACAAACAAAGTGAAATTGTGTAAGCTTCTCTTGTGAATTAATAATGTTTACAAGTGCACGATATATTAATGAATCATAATAAGTATAATATTCTTCAAACTTTAAAGATCTAAGTTTCGTAGAGTTTTTTGCCAAGATTCTTAATAAAATAATAGCATCATCAGTGCTGAAACTACAGGTGTCTGATATTATACATAAAGACAGTTCTTGCAGTTGTGAGAAAAATTGATCATTTTTTCCTAATAAGTAAAAGATATCTGGCTTAATTTTAGTATGATCAGAAAAATTTATATGTAATTTGTGCAAAGAGGTACTATTCTCAATAACTAATTTAAATAATAAATTAGATATATGATATGTCGCTGGGTCGCCAGGTAATACAGGAATAGTAAGTCGAGTTTCGATCCATTCTTGAACCGTACTTTCAAGGCAAAATAAATTGAGAACCTTAAGAAACCTTGCATAATTAAATAATGTTTTAGAAAATTCTGGATTAATTCCATATTCTACTAAAATGAATTTTTCGTCTTCATTAAGAAATGAAAAATAATTTGAAACAAATGCTGGCTTATAAGGTATTCGATCAAATGAAAATGGATCTTGCCAAAGAATAGGAATTGATATTTTACACCAGTGTCGACTCACTAGTGCGCATGAGTATAAAGTATTATATTCATTCTCTAAATTAGTAAAAATATTTTCCATTAATTCGGGCATGCTGCCAATGAATATTTTTGATGCCATGAATTCACTTAGTGCTAATGTTAATGGAGAAGAAAATGCGATTTTAGGAAATTATTTAATGCACCAATGCTTATAAATATGAGAACTTTGTGTAAGCGTGAGTAATACGTAAAACCCCAAAAAGGAAGCCAATCAATTGGTTTATTCCGGATCAACCCTACACGTGTCGTTTACCCCTGTGATACAAACAAAAAAGAAAATTTTCTTGTGAATAATATCAATTTTATTTTGCAAAAATATATCATTAAACAATAACGATAAGAACGAACTAAAAATATCGATTAAACTAATCAACCATAACGCGGGATACGAATAATGTGATCAATTACAAAAGGTTTCTGATGACTCGGTTTGCAAAATTTATATTGCCCGGCCCAAAATATACTTAATTTGCTCAAAATTCATAAGGTTACACTACATTAAAAGCTTCAACTTGTATTTCAATTTCACCTAAAAATATCGATTGACAAACGTGATATTCTAAAAATAGATTTCGAAATGCGGGATCTAACTAGAACAATAAATTATGCTGTTTTTTGATCACATTCCGTTGTTTGTAGAAATCTATTTTTAGAATGTCAGGTTTGCACTTGGCGGCATCCATATGATCAATGCAAAACGATATTATTCACCATGTCGACAGTCATAGGACAAAATTTGTCTGCTTGGTTAATTTTGCGATCGACTCGATTTCCCGTGATGATTAACCAATCAAATTACATAATTTTTTCGATTAGAAAACGAAAAAATTTCCATAAAGAAATTTACAAACCAATAAATACACGCAAAAGAATTAATCACATATTTAGAGAATAGATAAGTACATGTAAAGTGAAGCAAACATGATATTTATTACTAATAAACTCGAACCCATTAAAGAATATATAATACATTATATGATATAAACCAAAAATTTTACGTTTAATAATCCCAAACATACTATGCTAAAAAAGCAGTCCAAATTTAAACATTAAACCCGTATCTTTTTACTACTGAGGAACTTGACCCAATTCAATCAAACAAGGTTTACTTTGAATATAATATAATAAAGTTTATTTTTAAAGTTAGCCTTTTGACACTCGAAAAAAACGATTTATGCAATATCTTTTTTTTTTTATTATGTAACACTTGAGTCAGTGACTATGATTTGCTGTGTTTCGCAGAATACCGCAGAATTTTTCTTAAACACAGCTAACCACAGAATTGGTCTTAATCACAGCAGAATGTCAGAATTTCAAATAAATGAGAGTTTCTCACGGAATCGTGATTTTTATGCATAAAAATTGTCCCAGAGTAACTGGTATGAATATGTATGTAGAGTACATAAAACTTTCATGATTATTGGATAGGAATGCAAACATCTTTACTATTATCGAATATTATACTGTATAGGACTTCCGGTTTCTAGTTGTAGTGTAGAACACAGTTATTCAATATATAGTAATAAACTTTTAAATAGCGATCGTCAAAACCCTCACTTGATTTTTTAAAGTAATTAAGCATGTTATATTTTAACGGTAATTAAGTTTTTTAATGAATAAATATATTTGCACTCTTTTTTTTTCTAAGCACATCTAATCGCAGAATCGGTACTAAATTATGAAAAAACAACACATCGCATCACAGAATTTGGTCTTAGTCACTGCAAAAAATCATCGTCCCTGACATGAGTTCTTAAAAAGTACTTTAATGCAATAAATTATCCTGATTTACATCAGACAATCCAAATGAATTTCGTTCTATGAGATCCCCGTTACTAAATAATACCCGGCAGTAATATTAATTTCATATTCAATCGTCAGAGGTAAAACTAACAACACACACGCAGCAAAAGAAAGGCGTTACTCAACGGTTTGGCGGTCTAAGGCTAGAGTTGAGTAAGTTACACGGAACGAAGTGCGTTACGATGGTCAAACTGGGCATCTTTAAAGGTTTATTTTATTTTTTAAAAGCCATGACTAATTCTTTCTTCTAGAACTAAAGGGCTTTTTATACATTTTTTTACATAGGGAAGGTTTGAGGGAAACGTTCACGCCCTTTCGTTACTCTAGTATTTTTCCTCTCATTGACACAATCATGCCATAGTGCCACGGTCACACTCATCCTGGCAAGGTAATATTACCTTGACATCTGTCAAACCAAATAGGGTAGGTGGCTTTTATCTCTACAGGATCAGCGTATTTAATTCAATAGTGGCTTAACTACGCAACGTTCATGGCGCTTCTGCCTCTAACAATATTTATTATGTGTAACCTCAAGTACATAGGATAGTTATTCGCTTTGAAGATCTATAGCTAACAACAATCTCTAACCGTCTGAATCGATATTGAATAGTTGGCGCTTTCCACTCGAAAATTAATAAATAATAATCGTGCTTCATCACAAATAAGTAATTTCAATAATGTGGATCGTAATGTGTGCCGCAGTAATATCTCATAGGCTGAAGTTCGTCTGATTGGCCAATAAATTCAATTTAATTTTACATTATTTATACAGTTCGAGTACTTTTTTTAAAAAAAACAAAAACCAACTATAATATAGTAAAAAAAAAAAAAAAATCCATATAGAAGGTTTCATTAGAGCTGTAGAACTCCATAGTCAAAATAAGATCTAATTATCGTCTGTTTGAATAAATTAGCTTGATTTTATCGGGTTTTGAGTAGATCTTATTTTTTGGCTATGGAGTCCTACAGTTCTAATGAAACCTTCTATACGGCTTTTTTTTTATTTCATTATGATTAGGTTTCATTTTTTAAAAAGTACTCTAAACTGTATAAATAATGTAAAATTAAATTGGATTTTTTAGCCAATCAGACGAACTTCTTCCTGAGGTTGTATTCTAAAGTACAATTAATCCGTCCTTATTACCCGGAGTACTTTATACTAAGGTTTCGGGTATTATAAATGGGTTTTTTTTAGTCTACGCTGTATGGTATTTTTATTAATATTTTATATACTAGAAATCGTATAACAACTTATTTATTTTTGTATTTACAGTCAAACCTCTCTATAATCACACCTTTGGTTTTAATAATTTGATGCTTATATAGAGTTTGTGCCTATATAGAGGTTCAATGTTATAAAATTTTATGTGATTATAAGCAAATGTGACTATAGAGTAGGTGACTAGAGAGAGGTCTAACTGTATACGCTTTTAGCTTTAATATACAGTTAAATCTTTCAAAATGCATTTAAAGAACCATAAAAAAGTGCAATTATAAAAGTTTAATATATAAATATTTGAACATAGTTAAAGGTTGCATTTCGGGTCATTCGATAGTAGTTTATTAGAAATATACTTTAAATTTATGTTAGAAAATAAGACTGTCTAAGAAGTGACTGGTCATATACTAGTTTAGTTAAAATACTATAAATTAAATCTATATAATATTTACCAGAAAAGATTTTAACAAAGTTAATAGATTTTGCTTTAATATATTTCTTGTGTACTGATAATTTTGCTAGTATATATATGGTCGGATGTTTTTATAAGACAATTGATAATTCTTTTCTATTTATCTGCTTTCAAGAATTGCTTTTTAATTTCATTTGTATCATCTGAACTTTTCATGATGCTATACCATTCGTAAAACTTATTATAAACATTCCAAGCATTAGGCCGCTTTTCTGGATCAAGATCCTTACATTTTTTAGCAAATTCGATATAGCAATTCGGGGTTCCAGGTGCAAATTCATAGCCATCAGAAGGCCTTTGTCCAGTTGACATCACTAACATGATGACACCGAAGCCGTAAATATCGGCAGCTTTCGTGAACTCTTGACCTAGTAAAAGTTCAGGTGCTACATATTGCATAACCTCATAAATATAACTACTTGAATAATTTTCGTTTTCCTTTTTGTATAATCCCAGATCTGAAATGTAAGATTGCATATTTTTACTAACGCCTTTCTCTTGCAAAAGATTACCACTGTGAAAGTCAGCATGGACATATCCTGCATTATGAATGTTATATAAATCTTTAGAAATATGAATGTTATATAAATCTTTAGAAATATGAATGTTATATAAATCTTTAGAAATGTCAAAAAGTAGTTTTAATTTAGTTTGCCAGTTAAGATTACGAAAATTTTTTCTTGAAAACTTGTGAAGACTTCCATTATCAGCGTATTGAAATACCATCAAGTATTCATTTTCGCTGTTTTGAGTTAATCCGTATATTTTAAGTTGACTACCCCATAAACGACATGTTATAAGATTCTCAAACTTTATAATTAAATAAATAAATAAAATAAATAAATGAAATAAATAAATAAAATAAATAAATAAAATAAATAAATAAAATAAATAAATAAAATAAATAAATAAAATAAAAAAAAATGAAATAAATAAATAAATAAAATAAATAAAATAAATAAATAAAATAAATAAATGAATTAGTTTATAATTTATTTAAAAATTATTGAATAAATAAATTTAACTTACTTCATTTAAAGAACCGGACAAAGTCTTGAGTGCAACGGTACTATTTTGTTCTCGTGATCTTTTATAGAAATAGTTGTCATCATTAATTTTAATATCATCAATTTTTCGTATACCATCCAACCAGATTGCTGAGCAAATCCTCCTTCACCTATTTTTTTTGTATTAATTAATTTGTCATATGGAATCCACTCAATAATGCTTTCATATCCCGAGTTCTAAGTTGTATCATTTTCATGAAATCGTCAAACCCCTTATTTTTACTTGTCCATTTTGTTTCCATGTCAGGGTCGCATGATAGACACCAAGCTGGCTGCATGTTATCTTCATTACAATGTGCACATTTTCCATATTTAGGGTCACTTTATAATTAAAGCATAATATATCGTATTTTATTTTATCTGCAAATGCTACTTTAAGCCTTATATTAATTTTAATAATTTTCTACTTACCGACTAAATTAGTGCAAATGAAATGATTTTCATATAAGTATTTATGATCTTGATTTGTGAACTTGTTTTTAATTCCAATGATTAATAAATATTCTTTATACTCACTCACGAATGAATGACTGATGTGATTGAAATGATTTGAAGGGTAGTAAATAAGTATTTAGACCTTTGATTAGTGAAGTTGGCTTTAATTCCAATGATTAATAAATATGAAGTGTATTAGGTAATATTTATGTTCTTGATTTGTGAACTTGTTTTTAATTCCGATGATTAATAAATGTTCTTTATACTTACCGACTGAATGAATAATTAGTGTGAATGAAATGGTTTGAAGGGTATTAGGTAATAGTAAATAAGTATTTATGTGTTCTTTTATTTGTGACCTTGCTTTTAATTCCAATGATTAATAAATATTCTTTATACTCACTCACTGACATGATATGAAGGGTATTGGGCAATGGTAAATATGTTAGTCCTTTGATTTGTGTTGTTTTTAATTCCAATGATTAATAGATGTTCTTTATACTCACTCACTGAAAGAATAATTAATGCGAATAAAATGGGTTAAAGGTATTGATAATGGTAAATAAGTATTTGATTTGTGAATTTGTTTCTAATTCCAATCAGTAATAAATGTTCTTTTTACTTACAGGCAAATTAACAAATAATTAATATTTACAAGCTTAATAAATTATTTAACTCTTATGAAAATCTTTCAAAATATTAAAATTTAAAAAATAGCTTACTTTTGAATCCAATCACGATATTTTCAACATTTTTACCTATGCCAATTCCGTAATAGTAACAAATGGCAGTTTTCTGAATTCCCATAGAATTACCCGCCTCAGCTGACTTCAAATAATAAACAAATGCTTTATGCTTATCAATTTCAACACCAATTCCTAAATAATAACAATAACCGATTTGATACATTCCGTCAGGATTATTCATCTCTGCTGATTTTTGATAATTAATGAACGCCTTTTTTACATCCTTTTCCACTCCAATTCCATGTTCATAACAATATCCAACATTAAATAATCCTTTAGCATGCCCCATCTCCGCAGATTGCTGACAATAAATGAACGCCTTATGTTCATTCCCTTCAGCTTTAATTCCATACAAATAACAATTTCCAACATAAGTTACTCCGTTAGTATCAAGTTTTGCGTATTGGAGATTGGCATTTCGGAAATATATATTTTTAATGTTCTCATTTTGGAGGTTTGCATATTGGAGATTTGCATTTTGAAGATTTGCATCTTGAAGAGTTGCATCTTTGAAATTTGCACTTTGAAGATTTGCATTTCGAAAATTGACACCATTTAAATCTGCTCGTACAAATTGTAAATTTTTAAAAACTCCATCACTCAAATCCGCCCCTTGAATACGAATATTGTCTAAATTTATTGAAAGTTGTATTTTGGCACGTGTTAGAACTGTAATGGCATTGGTGGAAGCAATTTGAATATTTGCATTATTTTTAGAAAATATAATAAAATTTTGAATTGCAGGTTCTGGTATAATCGATTTCTTATTAAAGAGAGTTGCTTCTGACGTATCATTAAGTGAATCTAACAATGCACAAGCGATTAAGTAATCTCGTAATGATTTATGGAAGAACGAATGTTGATTTCCACGTCGAATTAATGGCATGCTAAAACGCATCAATCGATATTTCACATTTAGATCTCCTAAAAGCGTCGCCCAGTCAGACGTGATCTCCTTATTTTCTAAATTATAGTCAACAACTACTTTATTATTATCTATAAACATCTTGAAGGCAAATTCTAAACAGTGCTCAGTAAAATCATTATTTAAATGATTGAACTCTTCTCTTTCTTCAGGTTTCAATTGAATGATTTTTAAACGATCGTAAGCACGCTCAAACCATTTTTTAATAAATTCATCATATAAAACTTTATGATTTATCTGAGTTGATTCTTTGTCTATGAGAATACCTGGTAAAACATTCAAAGTAATTTTTAATAGAATAGGATTGCACACAAGATCTTTTATTTGTGGTATATCGTTTATTTTTTGTATATATTTGTCTGCGTCCCATAGTGATGAATTACTTTCCTTGAAATGATGAACGTAATTGTTTATATATTGTTCTATTTCAGTCCGCGAAAATGGTGTAAGTGTCAGTTCTTGGAACCCTCTTTTTCCGGTTTTCTTAGGCCAAAATATTTCTTCATAGCCTTTATTTAGGTATTCTGGTCGACAACTAATGATAATTTTCGCATTTATCCAGTTAGAGAACATATTGCTGTCATAGCAATGCCGATCACGTTCAGCAATCTCATCATAACCATCTAAAATAAATACAAACTTCCTTTTCCGTAATTCATTAATTTGGTCTGTGGATAGTTTGCCTTTTTCCTGTAAGTAAGCTTCAATAAAATCCTGATTTTTATTTATAAATCTTTCTAATGGCGCTAATGCGATAAATAAAGGGACGGGTTGCGTCATGTCTTGTTTGTATTTTTCCCATAGAAGACGAGCAAGATACCGGTTAAACGTCGATTTACCCGTGCCTCCACTACCTAATATCAACAATACACTTTTACGCTTCAAGGTTATGAGTTTATTTACTGCTGTTTCCAAATTTTCTTTAGCTGTTAAATTCAGGAGTTCTTTGGCATTTTTTTCAAAAATTTCTTCTTTCAAGGCTTTTCCCAAAATTGATGCTTTTTCCAAAACTTTTTCCAAAGTTGTTATGTCTGCTATCAATTTACTCTCTATGAACTGTTTACCCTCCAAAGATAGTTTGTTTTCCACGGAAAGTGGGGTTTTCATAAAATTTCTGATTTCATTTTTTAGTACTCTTTCTCTTTCATCTTTGGATGAGGCGAAGAATTTATTTATCGCCATCTTCAGAAGCTTCCAAGTTTTTTTATGCCTTAAAGCCAAAAATTGATTAGCTGCTACATTTAAGACGTTTATATCCATTAAAGTTAATTGATTCTCCGGTTTAAAAAAACTATTGACTTTATCAATTAGCATTTCTATCTTTTGTGGCATCATCAAAAATTTATTGGCTTCAATCTCCAAAGATTGCTTATCATCTGAAGTGAGTTTATCCTTTGATGTCAAAAAATTAATAACTACTTTTTCAACGTCGCCTTCTTTTTTTTCTTCAACATCACCTTTTTCTTCTTCAACGTCGCCTTCTCTTCTTTTGTGATGCATTAGCACGCTCCATTAGGGTGTTCAAAATACTAGTAAATCAAATAATAGTCGGGGTATATATTTAAGGATTTTTTACCGGTTTTTTAAATAATTTCGGAAATTTCGGAAAATTTAACTTTCATTTATTATTTTCTTTATTTATCGAACAACTCAGAAAATTTAACTTTCACTTATTTTCTTTATTTATCGAACAACTCACTAAACAGTTTATTGGCTTCTATTTCTTCAAACGTTACCTGTTTTTTATTACTTTGTTTTTCATTATTTCGTTCATTTAATTTTCTTTTATTTTTTCTTTGCAACGCCAATTCTTCATTAGATAAAGAAACTTGCTTGACACTCAAAAGATAAATTTAGCTTTTTTAGTTTCAATATTCATGTTCGTATGACATTTAAGGTTATACTTATTGAACAAACCCTCGACCTGTTGTTGATGAATAACTATATAATAAATTTGACATTTGTCAAATTTATATAGCAAAGGAAAAGCATGAATTGGTTTATCAGAATTAGCAAAGTTAAGTAGCTCTTCCATAAATAATGGATCTTCTGTTGCTTGAAGCAAGTTGAAACATTAGAATTAGATTGTTTAATATCTAATTCTAAAAGAGTTGTATAACACAACTCTTTGAGACTAGGAACTTGATTTTGTTGCTTTTTAAATTTTATATATATATAACTTTTAGCAAACTTGTAGTCATATTTACCACCTAATCAACATATGCTTAATGAAAGATGAAGCCACATACTTATCCACTTATTCAAAGAATTTATGGTCTTATCAATGCCAGCTTCTAAATTATTAAAAAAATTTCTAAAATCTTCTTCATTAAAAATATCAATGGCATTGCATAATTCTTTGTCAAAAAGTGATCAAATATTATCTCTAATTCTATATAAATTTTCTATTGATTTAATAACTGCATCAGGCATTTCATGGGCTTTTTGACCAGGTAAAAGTGATGATAGTTGATTGTCAGGTTGAAGAATTCGTAGTTTTTTATCAGAACCAATAAAAAAATTCATAATTGGTTTATAAATTTGTTCACTAAACTTTACAAGACATTCTATCTGCATTTTTAAATTTGGGTCTATAAGCCATTGTTGAAGAAGTTCCTAATTTTCAAGATAAGTTTTTGGCACTTTTTTTTGTGATTTTAGCTTATTCAAAAACCAAAAAGTAAAATTTTCTAAAACATTTCTTCTTTCTACTAGTTGTCTTGTTACTTGTAGTTTGTATAGTCATCATTACCTTAAAGGTTTTTGAAATTTAGTTAACCAAATATTAAATAACTTAAAATACAAATCAAAAACATATGATGATTTCATATTCATAAGATTGTTTTGTTACTTTCATTATAACCATTATGTAATTTTCAAATAAGATAAAATAAATTAAAAGAATGTTTTTGAATAGAAAATCCTTTTTTGTCTTTTAGTTTTCCAAAAGTGATATTTTCAAAATTTATCATCATTATATAAGTCACATGAAGTTCACAAGAAATTTGAAACAAATTCAATTTAATTTCCTTATTAAATAGTGTTATCACACTATTTTTAGAATCAGACATATATTTCATATTGTCTATTGTCCAGATTAAACACTTAGTTGAATCTAATTGATATTGATTACAAGAATTAATAACAATACAAGCAACTAAAATTCCAGAACATTGAGCTAAATCTTCAAGTTCTAACAAAGTAACTTTTGGTTCATTAGTAATTAGATCCAATATATAAAACATATGATGAAAACTTTATTATCTTCATATATTGATTCATTTGTCATAATCCTAAAAGTAAACCATCTAGAATTTTTAACAATAGAGCACTGTTGAATTAAATAAATATTTGATACATCTTGATGCCACCTGACAAGTGTATCTACAGAAAACCATTTATCAGGCTTTTCATCTATTAACCATTTGCTTATTTTTTTTTTTTTTTAAAAAAAAGCAAGGTCTTGTCTTAGTTTTCTTTATTGAATTTTATATATAGGTACATTACATGATATAACATAATATATATTCTTATCTATGAAAAACTAAAGCTAGAGCTAATTTACTCCTAATCCAAACTTTGCTAAGAGGGGCCAAAGGCCTTGCTTAGTCCTGAATTGTTGCTATAGGGTTAGGTAATGCATTATGATTTTTGAAGTTCTCAGTCCAAATATTAATTCTTTTTTCAACTTGTGGGCTTTTGTAATTAATAGGTATATAGATATGAGCATTAGTATTGTCTAAGGTTGTTGTATTAGATTGAATTAGTTTACTAGATGTAGTAATATTTAAGGATTGTTGGTTTGGTGTATTTTGGTCTTTAGGTGTTGTTTGGCATCATATAATCCATATTTGTTTGTATATTGCTTTGCTGATTTTATGCAGTATTATTTCAGTAGCTGTATGCTTTGTTTTTTTGTTTATAAACTTATTAATTGTTTTGCTTTGGTGTAAAGTAATAATGCCTTTCGTGATTGTGTTCTCTTGTTTGTCATCAATGTTAAATAGAATTAATAGTGAAGTAAGGGTTTCCAAATTTTGTAATATGTTTAGTTGATGTTTAGAAAGAATTTTTGTTATTGTGTTCTCAATAATAGAGTTGATATTAATATTATTAGTATGACATTATGTTTAATATTTGTTGGTTTCAAGGTTGGTTTTGCATCTCTGACAATTTGGATTATTATATTTTTTGGGGTTGCATTTGTGAAGTACTGTTTGGATAGGTAGTTCATTGAGAAAGAATTTGATTTTGAAGGCCTTCAGATTTGAATAAGAGGGATGAGTATATCTGAAAGTAGATTTGTCATTAAAGTTTATGAAATTATGGAAGGTTTCTTAGTTAATTTCTTCATATATTATGTTTCAAGTGTTTATTCAATTTTGGGTATGCCATGTAGCAACATGATATGCATTATTAATATGTTAGATAAATTGTCTGGATACATGCTCAATACATGCATTGTGTCAGTTTATAGTGAAGATGTCATGTCTTATTGCTGTTGGTTTATGCTAAGATGATGTATAGTAATATTGGATCTGATCATAATGTTCAATGCTTCATTATATTGAAACTAGATTTGCTGAGATCTTTGTTCAATGATTACTTTTAGTGTTAGCCAGCTAGGTCATAATAAAATTTTGTAGGTCTGAGTATTATGCCAGGATGGAGTATTTAGAATAAACTCTGCTATTTGAATAAATTGTTTTTTGTTAGTGTGTATAGTTATGTTTGTGTTTTCATAAATACTAAGTACAATGCATATTATAGCTATGCATAATGCTTTATTGGTGCTTGGCCAGTTGTAGTTTTTAAAGCAAAACTAAGATTTTGATTTGTCATTTTTCCAGATGACTAAGGTAATTTCTGTTGAATTTGGTTTATAGGACACTAACTTAATATCAGTTGATTGCATTTTTGATGTGTTTTAGTACATGTTTTAAAGGTCTTCAGCTGCCTTTTGAAGTAATATTGTATTGGTTATATTAGTAAAAGTTCATTGATGTGATTTGATAAATGATTTGTTAACTGGCTTAGTTATAGGTTTTTTATTAGGCCTGTTGTCAAAATGTATTGTTGCTAGTTCTTCTGTATCATATTTGATGTTGTGTTTGAAGTCTACTTTAATCTGTCTAAGGTATGCTGTAGGATGAGTTGAGGTACATTTTGTTTTTTATAGTTGTGCTTTATTGAGATTGCATCCAGAACATGGTTGTAAAGTTGTACTATTTGGTGTCCTTATCTAGTGGTGTATTGTTGTATGCTGATCTTTTATTGAAAATATCTTTTCTATACTTTTTGTTTTAGTGTTATAGATTCAGTCTTTCTTGTTAACCTGTTTGGCTTTAAATATATAGGGGTTTGGTATAAGCAGTATATGGCTCTTGTATTTAATGATTTTATTAGTTTTCTGAGTTATATACTCAACCTATTTGGGTTTTCTGCCTCTTTGAATTTTTGTTATAGTTTGTGTGATATGCATCCAGCTGAGCATTTGTGAGTGTATATAGTTTGTACATTGTTCTATTGCATATATTTCCAATTTGTTAAATTTGTTTTGATTTTGTAGGCTGATTTGAGTTGTTGTAAAGTATAATTTATAGTTGTACCTTTGAATATTAAGGGTTTGGGCCAGGTGTTAGCATGCTTTATTAAGACTTTTACTTGGTATAGACTTTGTAACATTTTGGCTGTAGTTGAGAAGTGTTTTTTCTAGCTTAAGGTATATAAGTAATCAATCAATATGGATGTATTAGTTGCAGCTACATTTTGGATTTGTTGTAGTTAAATTTTAAGTATTGAGTTGTAGAAGTTGTGATGATTGAGTTGACATATTATTTGAGCAATGTGTTGTTGGTTTTGTATGTTATTCACTTTCTGAAGAACATATATTTTGTGATGAAACATTGTGAAGTTTGGGATAGATGTAGCCATGCCTGCTTTATGTTTTGCTATAGTTGTATAGCTGTGTGTAATTTTATTGCAAATAGTATCTGGTAGTTTAGAGTTTTGTATATGGTAGGCAATTCTAGTAAGTATTACTGAATTAATTATATAGATGACTTGTTTTTCTGTGATTTTTGCATATTTGAGTTTTTGATTGTGTCAATTGCTTCTTCTGTTATAATTTGATGTATAGAGGTTTGTTTCTTTCCTATTGTAAACCAATATTCAAGAAATCTAAATGCTTTTTTTGTTGAAATACTGGTAATTGATATGTTGTTAAATGTTATGCTAGATGTTGTCTTGGTTATGTTTATTGCTAGGACTAATTTTGTTGGATTGATCTGAATGTTGGTTAGGTTGTAGAAAGTAGTTGCAGTAGTTATAATTTTAGATAGTTCTTCTTTTGATGTAGCAATCCAAATAGTATCATTCATATATGCTAATAC